CCCCCCCCCCCCCCCCTTCTTTTCTTTTTTTGGTAACTTGTCTGGACACTTGATCCTTGATGTAATTTTCAATTTTCTGCATGTAGATTATGGTATTAAGATGTGAACATTCTCATGGTTATGATTAGCATTAAAACACCAAAAGAAAGATGAAGAGAATTTCACTAGTTCCACTTGTGTTGGCTCTCACCCGCTGATGAAATGCATACAATTGGTTAAAGTTGTAGGAGTTTGGTGAGAAATGGACCTATTAGGGTGTGTAATAGACCGGATAATTGACAATGTGGTGATTGATTTTTATGGTTGATGTATGCTCTGAGCTGCTCATGCTCATGTTCACTGGAATCGAATTTTATGATTGAAATTTACTTTCTAATTTTGCTCACAAATATTGTCATTGCACATATTTTTATATCTTATCAGCAATGCATTTAAAGATATTAGTTAACCGAAATGCAACTGTGATGTTGAAGGGAGAATGTATCCATCCACTGCTGTTGTGTCATGGATGGGTGGAGTGAACAAATTTGTGGCTGGGACAAAAGCAGCAGTTGTGATACTTCCTAAAGATGCATTTGGGAATAATATTTCATCAACAAATGAAGGATCAATCTCTTATAATTTTGGATTGGCTGCATCTTTTACAAATGGTTCCGTTGCAAGTTTGCTTAATGTCTGTAACAAAGGATGGAATGAATTGGGATATCTCAGCATTGAGTTTATTGTGGCCACAGCTGGAAGCCTATTACTTCATGTTGAAGAGGAAAATCAAACATTGAGTGGAACTCCATTGCCTTTCAAGGTGAACCCAGGTGATTTGCTTCATTTTAAGCTCACGACATGGATTGTGAGATCCGCAGGACACAAATTAATAATGATTCCTTTTTTTTTTTTGGACCTTTATTGCTAATTTACTTCTCTCTCTCTCTCTCTCTCTCTCTCTCACTTTAGTCATGGTAAAAGCTTTGCAGTGTAATTTTATTAGTTTACAAATATCCACTATGGATTCTCATGGTTTTATGCATACTCTTTACATCAGTATAATTTCACATATTTAGTTTTGCTCCACTATTGCTATTTTTCAGTTTCTTTACCGGGGAAACTCAGGTTGGATTGAGATGTAGCTATTTTAATAGATGAAGCACTCAGAAGCTGTATCTTTTCTCCTATGGTAGTTCATTGCCGAGTATATTTAATCCTTATTACCAATAACAAATATGTTATGGATTCTAATTAACATGCATATTCAAGTCAATGCCAAAATATTAAGAGGCATATTCAAGAAAAATTGTATAGTGCCCTCCATGGACGTGTTGCTTAAATCTCTACCTTGTATCATTTTTTAATGGTTCTTAACAGGAGCATTGGATTTCTCTCATTGTGTGACTCAATGGAATACTGAAATGAAGTTCTTCCAACTATTTTCTGTGATGGACACTTTTATACACCAGCGAGACCAATATGGAAATCTTGTTCCAGGATTGTATGCATTTGATGTTGAAGTCATTGAAAAGGGGACAAATTTGTCGATGCCCATATCAGATTTGCATTTCAAAGAAGTCGAACCGGGTATACAGTTGTTTTCTTTCACCTTAGAGGAACCGGGGAACTTTATGCTCATGATTTCTGACAAGGAGCAGAATAACCTCCTGTCCAATATGCCATATGATTTCACTGTTTATATAGGTGTGATTATCTAAACCATTTTGGTTTCATTTTGTGCCACTCCTTTATTCACTTCCAATAGAAGATCTCATGATTTAGTATTAGCTTTTCTTTCTTTCCTGTAGTTTTTCCCTATATTGAATGTGAAAGATAATTGTTTGGCCTGTTAATGTGTACCACTTTCCAATTTGAAATAAACTCCAAATTTCCCACTCGATGGTAATGTATTAGGTGCATTCAATTTTAGTTGTTATTAATACTTTGATTGGATGTATGCATATGTATAAAAGTTTAAATTGTTAAAGATCCTCTGGGAGGTATATTTACTGTGGATTGACAACTTACCAAAATATTTTTAAGTTCAAATGTGCTTTTCATGAAACTGTTGAAGTTGTAACGTGATGTAGTGGCCAGGGAATTTTGAACTATTATATTTTTGCAATAAACCACGTTCGAACAATGGACTACAGTATTTGAAGATATTCATGTGCTAGAGTTTTATTATAAATTTAAAATATACTCACAACAAATAACTAAAATTAAAGTGGATATTAATACAAAATTCAAGGCACTATGTGGAGTGCGGTGCAAAGAGAGGCGGATGGCAAGACTGGTTATAAAACCTACAATTGACACTAGTTGTCGGAAGGTATCTGCTCTTAAACTCCTCACGCTTGGTAGGCTGTGCTTTTACCTTTGTACCAAGCATTTATCTCAGATGTTCTTACATTGCACAATAATTGTAATAATAAATTTTTAAATAAGCTCAAATTCTGAAAGTCCCTTCTAGTTTTTACCACCTTCTCGATCAATGGACTCTGAAGTTCCATTCAAGTTTAATGCTTTTGTCGATGGTCCTTACTGATTTGAACTAATTTCATGAAAATCATCATATTTTTATTATTCAGTTTCCACTGTTTTGTTTGAATTTGAATAGGGTATTGCGATGGATTCAATAGTATCATCAATGGATTTGGCTTAAATAATTCTATTGCTGGTGAAGTTGCAAGGTTTTCTGTTTTCTTGAAAGATGCTTATCTATACCCTTCTCCGGTTGAGTTAGAAAGGCTGCAAGTGCAAATTGTGCGGGAATTGGATTCCCATCAAGTACATCCGAGCATATATCCAATGGAAAATGTAAATGGTACCAGAACAAGTAATTATTCTATTATTTTTATTTTATCGTTCTGTTCAGCTGTTATTTGACAGAGTCCAGCATCTACGGAATAGGTAGTTGGTCAACTGGAATATTGAATTATGGTGCCAGCAGTCATATAGAACTAGCTTCTGCTCCAACTGTTTCATCACATAACAATGTAAGAAGCACTCTTACATATTCATTAAGAAGCATTTGTTTTTACAGGTTATAGAAACTGATAATAGTCTGTTTTGAATTCAGTCTGTTGAGAACCGGAAAGTTAAGGCTAGCTCATTCAATGTTGTGTATACGCCTGAAAAAAGTGGGATATACAAACTTAGTGTATTTTGTGGAAACATTCCATTGAATGGCGGTCGTGCATTCAGAAAGGAAGTAAGTGCAGGTATGTATTTCGACAGATCAACTTCAGTAATTTCAATATCTCCGGTACTTGTCAGGACAGTTTGACTTTCCTTACCTTCTAGTTTCGGATGTATTGGAANACTGCAGGTATGTATTTCGACAGATCAACTTCAGTAATTTCAATATCTCTGGTACTTGTCAGGACAGTTTGACTTTCCTTACCTTCTAGTTTCGGATGTATTGGAAAGAACATGTTGGAAATGGAAAAAGATTATTGCACTTCTATACTAATTTAATCATATTCTTGTTTTCTGTCATGTGGGTTGATAACACTTGATTCTCTGGGTTCTTAATGTGTTTGCTGATTTGCGGCAGGTGACGTAAATATATCACTTTCAGGAGTTACAAAATTCGTGCCAAAAGTACCAAAGCTGATTAAAAATGAAATAATAGTGCAGCTCATGGATTCATTTTCTAATCCTGTCCTGGCACAACAATCAAGGTTAAAACTGGAGATTGGTTCAATTAACAGTTCTGGTTTCTCAACATGGATGTTTGTTGATAACATGGATGGGTCATATAGTGGTCTCTATCTGGCAAAGGATGTCGGCACTTATGAGATATGTGCTTCATTTGATGGAAAACGTTTCTTGCCCTGTCCCTTTGGGGTAAATGTGTACAGTCGTAAGTTCTAATGGCTACAAAATGTATCCAACATGATTCGTATTTTTTTCTTGCTGCTTTCACTGATATATATTACTTCTGATTTGGTTGGATCTGTGCTGTTGGAATGTGAAGTTGGCTCACTTTTTTGCATATACCTATGTGTCATGCTTGCAAGTTATTGTGGCGCTCAGCCATATATAAAATGGAAATTATTTCTGCTGTATAGGAATTGAGGAAACAATAAAAATTATCAACATTAATTCATTGGTCCGTCTGTTATAAACTTCAAACAATGATTAATTGTTTTGTGGAACTTATTGTGATCTTAAAATGAGCTAAAGCAATTGCCTTAAAACTGAAATCAAGATTAGAAAGATCATTGAACATGAATTTTAGCGTATTCTTCCACTGACAAATTTAGTGCTGCCAGCAGTGGCAATGTTAGTTTGTGCTGTTCTTCATAATATTGGATAAAGGAGGTAATTATGGTAAGAAACTATGGAATTCCACAATATTCTTTTGCATATTCTGGTCCATTCCTTTCCATGAGTGGTTGTTCGAAATCGACCTTATGATCCACATTTTTTAACCTCAAATCCTTGGATATGGCTTTGGGATGTTTCTTTTTTGTATTACTGTCCTTTCTGAATCCAATGATTATTGCTGTTGAAGAAGGTATCTGCTTATACTCAATCTAAAAAACAATAGATTTTTCCTTTTTCTTCCTTGTCTTCTTCTTTGTACGGAATTAATTGGCATCATGCATTGCCTAGTGACGAGCGCTAATATTTGATAGACTTTTATTATTTTGGAATACTTGTATTTTTGGCTGCATATGCCAAGTTCTTCATGCCTGAAATTCAGTGAGTTGACATGACTACGTGACTTTAGAGAAGTAAACTGGTAAATGTGTGCATTGACCTCATGAAAATATTTTGTGGCACATATGGATATTCATATTTCAGTTCGTCACTTGTTTACAGTAGTTGAATCAGATGGGATCTAAATCTTGTTTTTTCAAATATGAGTGGTCAATATTCACTTTATTTCTCTTTCTATACATAAAGACTATGCACCAGTCTGACAATTGAAAATTTCTTTGTTCTAGGTGAATATTTTCCAAAAGCCTACAATGACATAATATTTGTTTGGGAGGATGAGTCAATTGCTTTTGATGCCGTAGAAAATGATTACTTTGCTGGTGGCAATGCAAGTATTGTTGATTACTCAAAGGTAAGATTAGGAGCCTAGACTTGCTGAAAATGGGAAAATCAGGAAATCAAGAAACCAGCAAGTATTTCCTACTACCCCACCTCCATGTCCCAAAGTAACAGAGACTACAGGGTGACAAGCATTTTGTCTCGTGGTGTTGAGTTACTAGACCTGGAAAAATTCAAAAATTTGCGTTGCGTTTTGGATTTAGAATGTTTCTGGATATCACTTCAACTGGCAGAAAAGAGACACTTNGAGTGACAAGCATTTTGTCTCGTGGTGTTGAGTTACTAGACCTGGAAAAATTAAAAAATTTGCGTTGTGTTTTGGATTTAGAATGTTTCTGGATATCACTTCAACTGGCAGAAAAGAGACACTTGAGTTTATGCTTGAGAAAAACAATTAATGCGAAATCATACAATGGAAATCAAGTACACAATGATGCTTTTAGAGAGAAATTATGTAGAAGCACAAATTTATAAGTATTTTCAATGCCTCAGCTCATTTGTGCTGTCCCTAAACTTTGCATACAAGCTGAACGTGTATATTTGGATTCCATTTAATGGCTGATTCTTATTAGCTTGCCTAGTCATAATTATCGCATACGATGACCTCAGTCTTTTCCTTTGCAGTTACCAATACTAGTTAACGAGATAGTAATTACACTTACCAGATAAACTTATGATGAAGTATTTTATCCTGCAGCCTTGTCATGGTTCTCTTCTACAGTATGGACGTATCTTTAGATATACACCCTATAAAGGGTTTTATGGAAATGATTCTTTCTCGTACACAGTATCAGATGTAAATGGCAACCTGGCTTCTGCTGATGTCAATATATCTGTTTTAAGCGTTCCACCCCAGTTTATTTCCATTCCACGTCATTTGCAAGTAACTGAAGATATAATAGGTCCCCGATTTGGGTAAGATTCTATCCATACTTGAACATTTATGGAAGACAATAGACGCATAAGGATTTTTTTGCATTTTATTTTATTGGGTATACCCAAATATCTACTGTTGCACCATATCAATTTTCTCTCTTTGCAGTGGGTTTTCTGGCTTTGAGATGATATATTCGGATTTTATCGAGAACATCACTGTGACGCTCAATGCAAGACATGGGACTGTCTTTCTCTCCCCAATGCTGATGCAATTTTGGCAGCCCATGTGGAATGAACTTTCTATTGAAAAAAGAGACGGAAAAGCTAAAGATTTAATTTTAGTAGGTCGTTTGGAAGTCATCAACTTCGCCCTTCAGTCAGTCCAATACCTTGGGTACTACTCACTGAACACATTTTTTAGCTGCACTGTTAGATGTTTCTGATGTTAACATTTTAGGATAAAAGGATAACTAATTATTCATGAGTCATAGAATTTTTGCTTTATATACTTCTATTAGAGGGACATTGTCATGTATACTCTTTGTAGTTATAAGTAACAATTATTCGCATATACCCATCTACCTTTGACTTTCTACTTGATATCATTTTGATTCTCACTTCAACTCATGGTATGTAAGTTAATCATCAGAAGCTTTTAGAATTTTGTGTACATGCAGAACAATTTTCATATCAAGAGTTCTTTCCTCTTTTCAATTTGCATAAAGATTAGAGAATCTGAAAGAAGGAAAGGTGGGGTTTCCCGTCATGCATAAGAAAGATGTTAATTAACAAAGAATAACCCATAGAGCTTTATCTGCTCTTGTTTGTGCTTCATATGCTATTGAGACTGAATGCACTTGTTCCCTTAGTGGCATATTGTCTAGGATAAAAGGGGAGAGTAAAGGAAGAGAAGACTCTGAGGAGAGAATTGGTCATCTTCTCTGATATGCTACATCTCACTAGATCCTTAGTGAATGAATTTTTTAGGTTTGGTAGGAGCTAGGTATGAGACCGACAGCCTTTTCTCAACTGGTGGTGGAAGTACAAGCTTATGTACTCCCACCCATGTGAAGAAACTTTTGTGCTAATTTTGCTGAAAATCTTGGGCAAGGTCCCTCCCTCCAAGATGCAGATTTTACGATACCCTCCTCATCATTTACCTAGTCTATTTGGTAGCAAGCTAAAAGGTTTCCTTTCAGCTCTTGGGTTTATATCTTGTTGCTTCTTTTTTCCAGGTTAGGCATTCACATTCTCATTTTTCAGTAACGTGTTTGCATCTCTCTGTCACCCCCCCTCTCTCTCGTTCTCTCTCTTGTGTAAAAGACATTGCAGTGACTTGTTTTATCTATTTTTTTCTATCAGAAATGAGAATTTTAGTGGTGATGATACAATTTGGGTTGCTGCAATGAACAATAATGGAGTGAATGATTTAGATGTTCCAATTTTCGTAGAGCCTATCAATGATCCTCCATTTATTAATGTTCCTGCATTCATCATTTTGGCGGGAAAGGAGAAGGAAGAAATGCTAATATTTGATAGACAAAAGGACAAATTTGATTTCACCATTGGGGACCCAGATCTGCTTAATTTCCCTGGTATGTTATTCAAGTGCAACTATCTTAGCTGGTCATTTAAGGGATGAAGATTTTTTTAACCTTTGATTAGATGTAAGGCAAAACTTGGCAAAACTCGAAATATCAATGCATTGGTCAATCTAAACTCAGAGCACAGACATGATGGCCTGATAAATAGGTGTCTCATGGCTGCACAGGAGACATATGTGCCCGATATTTGTAGTCAGAGGCTCCAATTATACTAGGCAGTCCTCTATACTCACTTGATGCCTGCGAAAGGTGAACAGGTCTCCATTTTCCCAGTACTTTTGCAAGCATGTAATCCACTTGAAATACAAGGGCATTGTGGCCTAAGCTGATTGGCTAATACTGTTTCCTGCTTATCAAATGTGGCAGTTGGGAAGTTGGCACACTAGATCACTTCATGGGGTTGCAGTTAAGATATGAACATAGAATTTCTTTTCCAACAATAAATAATTTTCCATGAAGTTACCTTGAAACCACTAGTTTCATCAGGAAACCCTTCAGGGTAGTAACTAAATGCATAAGAGCATTTGACGAATTGTTAGTAACTCTCATATTAGGCTAGGGCTCCACTTTTCATTAGGTTTTTCTTCATAGTCTTCTTTAAGATTTCACCGTATATAACTAGGAGGAAAATCAGAGGATCAGGCCTTTTAGCACAAATATTGCTATGTTTTGGACCGCATGATTTGTTTAGCACTTGCAACATTTGCATGTCATGGCAACTCTGCATCAATATGTTGGCAACTAGGAGTCTGGGCTGTCTGCTTCTTGACCATTAAATTTGATAGCATATCACTGAACTGAAGCTCNCTGCATGATTTGTTTAGCACTTGCAACATTTGCATGTCATGGCAACTCTGCATCAATATGTTGGCAACTAGGAGTATGGGCTGTCTGCTTCTTGACCATTAAATTTGATAGCATATCACTGAACTGAAGCTCTCTCTTTAGCGAAATGACAAGACCACAGAATCTTGACCTAGATAAAAGTATGTATGGTAAATTATGACGTGTTCTCCTTTTCGAGAACCTTGTGAAAACAAATAGTTACCAGGCTGGAAGCAGATGATGTAAAATTTTGAACTTCGAACACAATTTAATAGATTTTTGAAACCATTGGTGCTTAATTTACCTTTTCTTGAAAAACTGAAAACTCACGATGGAAGTTTATAGTCCTGATATTTAGCTGACTTGTATTTACAGGAAACGAGTCTCAATTTTTGGTGATGTTCTCTGTGGAAGTTAATTCTGGAATTTTATCAATCAATCTACCAGCTAAGCTCGTTAGTACAACTGAACTGAAATTGAAGAGCAGCTATCAGTGGCAGCCCCTTCAAACATTTGTTACTATTTCAAAACATTTTATGGTCAAGGCAAAAGGCATTAGATTCCGGGGAACAATCAATGACTGCAATGATGCCATGCAACAGCTGTCTTATCATGTGAGTGGCTGGAAAAATTCTGAAAATTGATGTTTATGTTATCTGTCACTAATCACAGCACTCAGATCTTCATTTCGTGCTTTATTTATGATCAGTTATTTGATTTCTGGCTAAGTGATGCTTTTATGCATACCTTGGGTTGTCGGAAACATTGGGTTGAGAAATTAGACCATGTATTTGGACTTCCGCCACTTGATAACCTAGCAGTGAAAAACACAAATGTCTACATTTTTCTCTTTTTTCTCTTTTTTCTTTTAAGGGAAATAATGGGTACCAAATTCTTTCAGAAGTATGCTACATTGCAAACCTCAATGGTGCTGTGGCAAGACAGTATCCCAGTAGCAAATCCATAATCTTCAATCACATTGAANTCAACATTCTTTTAAGGGAAATAATGGGTACCAAATTCTTTCAGAAGTATGCTACATTGCAAACCTCAATGGTGCTGTGGCAAGACAGTATCCCAGTAGCAAATCCATAATCTTCAATCACATTGAATGGTGGATTAATGACTTAATTCTAGTGACATACTGCATCCTAGTTGTAGAAACCCGTCTTGACTGAAAAACAAATGAAGCGTATTAGGAGAACATAGTACTTTTCTTCAACGTCCAACCTGCTCCCATTCAATAATAATAGATATAGAGAGAAAAATAAAGTTTAAAATTGATAAGGAAAGGGAAAAAAAATGTCCTTACCTCAACATTTTGGCATGGATATATGAATCTTGCATTTCCATTTAGGCCGTTGAACTGTAGCAGGAAGTGTGATCAAACAGTGTTGAACTGCAAAAGATATTCTTTTATCACTTAATCATTAACCAAGATTTACTTAAATGAGGTACTTTACCAGAATTTTGTCTGCAGAAAGCATCAGTGGCCTTGGGCAATGGAATTTTTACTTGTGGTATATAACCAAGGGCGATAACAGGACACCTCAGTAACCTGTTTATAAATTTGCAAACATGGTCCTCTTTCGCTACTAGTTGCTTGAAAATGAGTTAGTGGTTACACATGTTATGCTTGTAATGTCACTCTATTTTGTTGCAGCTCTTGCAATCTAACGTAAGTAAAATGTGTTGAAGCATTTGGAAAATCTAGCACTGCCACTGGAACTATTTGCAAATCCTCTTCCAATTTTTTAATTTTTAATAATTAATTGTTCTTGCAGGGCCGTGAACATGCTGCTGTTTTAACAGTTTCAATAAACGATATGGGAAACTATGGGTGTTATCCAGATTGTGAAGAAAAGATGTCCATACCTCTTTTTGCCGAGGCTACAATAAACCTGATAAGAAAACAACCAATGAGTTCGTTGTTAGCTCATAGTAAGTCAAAGTTATGGTTACTTAATTCCTGGATATATTTTTTGCAAGGCACCTAATCTCTGAGGTCTTTCACAACTTTTCCAGTTCTGAAATTTGTTTTAATTGCATTGATTGGTAGAGGTTATATTAGCTGTTTCTAACCTTTATATATTAGCTTCACTGAAATTGTCAAATTACCTGATTGTTTGAAAATCCTCCTACCCACTATTTCTTTCTTTTTTTTCTCCAAAACCCTCCATATTGTCCAAAATTGTAGCTGGAAACTATCTTTTAATGGGTTTCCTGCACGGTAGACTGAAGTGCCAATTCTCTGGTACCATCCAACATTTACAGCTTATAGAATAAGAACCAGGAACTACCATGACCGGTCAGCTCCATATAATTTATTGAATGGTGCAGAATTTCGCTTAATATTTGTTTCAACTTATTGCAATAAATTTAAAGAAGTGCATCTTCTTAGATCTGATGTTTCAGCCAACTGACGTCTGTTTCATTATGCGGTACAGCTTTAGGATCAGCGATTGTTATTGAATTCTTCATGGTGTTTTCTCTTGGCTTGCTACTTCTATTTTTCATATGCAAATGTGCATTTGTTCTTATACAAGAAAAGAGGAAGCATGACGTTCAGCATATTGAGCTCTCTGAGCTTCAAGGTTCTCATAAACGAAATGTAAGTACGCCCTGAACTTCTGAATATTAACATCTTTGTTCTTGTTATCGTCGTGGAAGTTGTTTTTGGTTACTTTTGCATAAACCAACATGCTATTTTTTTTCCAAGTNATGCCCTGAACTTCTAAATATTAACATCTTTGTTCTTGTTATCGTCCTGGAAGTTGTTTTTGGTTACTTTTGCATAAACCAACATGCTATTTTTTTTCCAAGTTGCCACTAAGGTCTTCTTTTCTATACATGGAAAACAATGAAGTACTTTCTCCCCCTAAATTAAGTTGCTTCAGAGACCGTGACTAAAAATTATACATTTGAACTTGCGAACTATGTTGTGATGGTTAACAGCCGATGTGTTATGGCATGGTCCCTTTTTATTTTGCAGTCAAATACAGATTGTTCTGAGGATGTGACTGACTTCACTGGATGCTGTTCAAGCCCCTTCTTTCTCAGTTGTCAGCCTTCAAACTTTCGTCAAGGGTAAGTATTAATTGAACTTGAAACTTCTACATAGTTCAAATAGTTTGTAGTCAAAACAAACTTTAAGATATATACACTCTACAGGCACTTTTGGCTGTCTGTCAGGAGAAATTTGATCTTTGATAGCAGAAGGCGACTCTACCCTGAATATAAAATGAATCCATGCATATGCTCTAGCATTGCGGACTTGGATTATTGCTCAGAATTGGAAAAAATTGTTGCAATTACACACATTTGTGGTAAAAATCTAAATTTGACCTGGAGAATAGCTAGATGACTACAATTTATGTAGATAGGTAGATATGAAATGGTATAGAAGACATAATAAAACTATATGAATCGCAAATTTCTTTGATTTCCGCAAGGCCTTAGATTCCTGGATCAAAATGCAAATGTTGGAAAGAATTGTTGGGACCAAGCTATTTATTTCAGCTTCATTAACTATTGAAGTAAATTAACTTGCAGGTCAAGCCATCAACTTGGAAATGTAGAAACTGACAAGGATACACATAATGTCCCTCAATCTTCAAGTGATAACCATCAGGAGACTCCCCTACCTGGCCCCATGTCTGTTGCTTCTGGGAAGGCTCAAACTGAAGTCGTATAGGTACAGACAATAGCTTGACAAATATTCACTTGATGATTCTTAGGCTTTTGTGTGTAGAGACAGCAAATGGAATTGACTAATTGTTCTGTCCAATGGGTATGCTGTGGTTGTACCCTAATGCTTAAACAAGAACGCTGATTTTTCATTTTGGTTCCTATTGTACTAAGGATCCAAAAGAAAAAAGGAAGGAAAAGGAACACTCGTTTTGTATGGTCTTTACGTTGATGATGTGAATATGTTTCATCTTAGCGAACACTGTTTCTGTTTGCTTTTCTTTTTGGTATACTTCGATGGACCTAGACTTGAAGGTTGTCGTTTTAATATTGGTGAGACTCACCTTCCAGTAGTGTCTCAAAGTGGGTAGACTTTTTAACCACTCCGACAAATCCAATTCGTTTGGCTTCCAGTTTTTTGGGGAGTGCAGTTCTAAATGGGATGCATACTCGTTATATTCATAAAACCTGAGGGTGCAAAATAGTAAAGATCATATAATTCTCCGAAGAGGGGATTGAAAAAAATCAAATGGAAGCTGTTACCTCGTCAAATGTGGTATTTTTAGTCCAGTATCCACCATAACGTTCAGAAATTCCTAAGGTGGTTCAGAGTAAACTATTTGCATTTAAGATTGTGAAGTAGTTGGAAGAATGTTTCGATGCACCCCATTACTCACACACATCATCATAGGATCCAGATCCATTCTAATACTTATTTCTTCAATTTTTATTTAGTGGATCACCCCCCATGATTTAATGAGGGTTCCACTTATATTCAGTGGATCCCAAATGAATTCATAGTAGCTGATTTGCCAAGAAAGGAATTAGAAAGGACATGTATTAAAGGAGTTGTCACTCCATCAAAATCACGAAGATCATAGCTATAGCTATTGATTTATTCAATATTTCATCAAGAAACTGAAGCATCTTTTGGATGACGAGCTAAATGTTGGGAGAGAAAGGTGAATAGGGCTGGTATATGCCACTCCCTAGTTGAATAAAATTATTGACGTTCATACAGGATCAAAATTCAGCCACACATACAGAACAATCACCTCCAAGAAACAGAGCTTGAAGAGAGAGAGAGAGAAAACAAAAACCTCAGAACTTCTGAAAAAAGTCATAAATGTGTTTGTTGATCTCTTCTGCCTTTTCTTGGTTGATGAAGTGGGCTGCGCCTTCCATTACTACTACTTTCTCCAACAATGGCACATCTTTCAGGAACCCACCATTGTGTATGTATTCCTTGGTGCCTGGGATATGATAGGTCAAGTCTAAGTCCCCCACAATAAACTTCACTGGTACTTTTACTTGAGCTCCAATCCAGGGTGCCGTGAGTTCACTGTTTCTACATTTCAACGGGAAGAAAAACAAGGATTGAATACTGAAGAACACAATATTATCAGCAGAGGGCCGCTGTTAGTAACGTTCAAAACAAAATCAGCACATATATTTTATGATGTCCTTGAAAACACAGAACTCAGCAGCAAGAGATTGAACTTGAACCTAGCAATGTGGTGACCTGACTCCACATACTTTGGTGAAGTTTGTGGAGTAGTCTATAAGTGCAACTGTGCAACCTCTGAATTTCTATTGTACTACATATTTTAAAACCGTGGGGTTAAAGAAGTTGGTCCTTGTAGAGTGGAGCCCATGAAATCTGTGTATTCCTTAATGCACCTCAATCCAATGGGTTGGTGGTTTGGGATGATGGCAGCTAGCATGGCAGAAGTCAACCTTCAGTATTCCACATCACTTGGGTTAGGGTCAGGACGGGTCCCAAACAAGGACCCTTGAGCTAAGAGGTAGTCAATCCAACATTGTTTGGAAAAGTGTGTGTGAAGTGATTTATAGGGGAAAGATTTGCCACCTTCACCATACAATACATTTTAAAGTCGTACAAATCTAGGAAAAAATGTGTAGGATCATACAAAATCATGTGTCTGGGATATTCTGATCAATTTCAATATATGGGGGATCTTATTCAAAACCCAGCCAATTAACAGCCTCATTTCAAACACAAAGTTCAAGCCATGACACATGATCTATTCCATAGGTAGGTAACTCACATATCAATGGATCGGTAGTAGTTTACCCCTCCAGTGAAGCCATTCTTCTCAAATTTGCTGGCATAATAATTAACATCTTCTTCCGACAACCAAGATGGCAAAACAATTGGAGCGTCAGGTGAATCTCCAAACCCTTTACCTTTAGGAAAATGAAATGGACCGGGAGTGCGGAATGTAAGGAATTTCTTGACAACTCTTTTCACTCCAATCTGAGCAAATTCAGCTTCTATATCCCCAGGTTCCTGCAACATAATTGAGCAATCANATAGGATCCAGATCCATTCTAATACTTATTTCTTCAAATTTTATTTAGTGGATCACCCCCCATGATTTAATGAGGGTTCCACTTATATTCAGTGGATCCCAAATGAATTTATAGTAGCTGATTTGCCAAGAAAGGAATTAGAAAGGACATGTATTAAAGGAGTTGTNACAGGATCCAGATCCATTCTAATACTTATTTCTTCAATTTTTATTTAGTGGATCACCCCCCATGATTTAATGAGGGTTCCACTTATATTCAGTGGATCCCAAATGAATTCATAGTAGCTGATTTGCCAAGAAAGGAATTAGAAAGGACATGTATTAAAGGAGTTGTCACTCCATCAAAATCACGAAGATCATAGCTATAGCTATTGATTTATTCAATATTTCATCAAGAAACTGAAGCATCTTTTGGACGACGAGCTAAATGTTGGGAGAGAAAGGTGAATAGGGCTGGTATATGCCACTCCCTAGTTGAATAAAATTATTGACGTTCATACAGGATCAAAATTCAGCCACACATACAGAACAATCACCTCCAAGAAACAGAGCTTGAAGAGAGAGAGAGAGAAAACAAAAACCTCAGAACTTCTGAAAAAAGTCATAAATGTGTTTGTTGATCTCTTCTGCCTTTTCTTGGTTGATGAAGTGGGCTGCACCTTCCATTACTACTACTTTCTCCAACAATGGCACATCTTTCAGGAACCCACCATTGTGTATGTATTCCTTGGTGCCTGGGATATGATAGGTCAAGTCTAAGTCCCCCACAATAAACTTCACTGGTACTTTTACTTGAGCTCCAATCCAGGGTGCCGTGAGTTCACTGTTTCT